TGTGCTTGTGAAGGCAGCTTAATATAAAATCTAAAAAAACATCCACCCAAATTGAGTACCTACTTTTTTCGAAGTCGGTTATAATCATGTTTTTTAAGGCAGTTCTTAATTCAAACAAAATAAAAATCCTAGTTATTGAAAACGTTTTATTTTATCACGCATTAGTACTTGTTTTTAGTTTTCTTAGAAACTAATTAATCACTAGGGAATATGCGTGTGATTTAAACAAATATGAAATATATTTTTTTATTATTTTTATTGCTTCTGATACCAATGTTCTCATAGACCACGACATCACGTCAAGCGCGCCAAAATGGTAGGCGTTTAAAGTCTCCCTATCTGTATGATATTTTTTTATACTAAATTTTAGTTTTTTGGAGCTGTATATTTTTGTAGCTATTGTATAATAAAAAAAAAACAAAAAACCCACGCATATTCTCTATTCACAAATTTAGTAGCAATCGAAATCGTAAAAAGAAAAAAAATAAGCCGAAAAATATAGAAAAAGAGGACAAATATTAAAATAAGGAATAGGTGATCGAGTTTTCTAATAATGTTTTACCGTCACTCAAATACTGGGTTCAACTTTGGACTAAGTAGCAAAAATTTAAGAGAAAAAATCATTACAAATTGACTTTACAGTAGTGATAAACAGTGGCTTATCCTGCAAAATATATCAGCAAATTTTAATGTTCACTCACACATAAATAATTATGTTAGTACGTAAGCCAAGTCTAATGCCAAAAATTAAAATTTCAGAGTTACGCCTGCACGAGATTATAAATTCAATTTATTAAATATAGTTTAGTTCAACGTTCTTTTAAGAGAGTAAGAGGTAAAAGATCTCAATGATTATGATCATCATTAACACAAATAATATCATCTCCCACAGTAATGATGTACGCCCTGCAACCATGCGGGTAGTGGGTCGAACACCGCCACCTTTTTTTGATTCCTTTTGAGAATATTGAGTGGTATGTATACCCCTGAAGCTTAATAAGCAGCTTGCCTTTTTGCGACGTCACATATTCCACTGCAACTGACCAAAAGGTATAAAGTACATGTTAGATAAATATCTATAGATTCTAAACAATATATTCGTCGAATAAAATCTGTAATATCTAATGCTATATTTTAATAAGGCACTGAAATTTAACCATTGTAGTTAAAGTCACATTACGTTGAAAAATGTTTGGGGAGTAAGAGTATCACAGTCCTCCCTGTTGAAGAGGACAGGGCTCTACAACAGATTTTCTCAGCAAAAGCTAACAAATGGTCAGTGAAACATGTTTTTGCTGTTTATAATGAAGTGATCAAAGGATTAATTTTATAGTTTCTTTTATAATTTTAATATTTTTGTATCCTTTAGTATTGATTTAATATATTAAATACAGAAACATAAGTGATCAGTAGAGCTGATAAGAAACACAACAGTCGCCTTTTTTTTTCCAAAATATTTGCTTTTATAGTGATTTTGTATTCATAGTGTATTTATATTGAAATCTTCTAGGTTTTTTTAATATCTTTAATGTATAGGATTTTCGTTAAAGCTAATAATATTATCTCCAACAGTGATGAGGAAAGCTCTGCATCCAGGAGGATTGTGGGTTAAGCACTAGCAATCTAGTAGCAAATGAAATGGTCTTAATACATTATTTTGAAAAATATAGAAAAAAGAACAAATATTAAAATAAGAAATAAATAACGTTGTACCGTCACTCAAATGCTGGGTTTGACTTTTCGCAAATTAGCAAAAAAAATTAAGGAAAAATTCACTACAAACCCACTGTTTATCCCGTAAAGAATATCAGCAAATTACAATGTTCTCTCATTACAATGTACTCTTTATTTTTGTTATTACGTAGGTCCAGTCTAATGCCAAAAATTATAATTTTACTGAGAGTTACTTTTGTAAGGGACTCGTATTATTCATTTAAGCAATTAATTAATTAGTTCAATAACCCTTTTAATATGAGGATAACAAGTAAAAGATCTCAATGCTTATGATAATCATTAAAATAAACAATTTCATCTCCCACAGTAACGATGTACGCTCTGCAACCTTGCGGGTAGTGGGTCGAACAACGCCACCTTTTTTTGATTCCTTTTGTGGATGTTGAATAATATGTATACCCCTGAAGTTTAATAAGTTGCTTGCCTTTTTGCGACGTTACATATTCCACTGGAATAAACAAAAATACAAAAAATACCTGTTAGAATCTATCTTTACTTATATCTGTTAGATAATATATCTATAGATTCTAAACAATATATTCGTCTATTAAAAATCTTTATCGTTATCTCAAATGCTAAATTTTAATAAAGACACGGTCGGTTGAACTTTGCGCTGAAAAATATTTGGAGAGTAATAGTACCACAGTCTCCCCGTGTTCAACAGAGAGCAAAGCTCTACGATAAATGTTCTCAGCAAAAGCTAAAAAATGTTCAGTGAAATATATTTTTGCACATATTTTAAAACATTCTTTATGTTGGAATATAATTTTGTATTTATAGCGAGCTTTTAATTTTATATTTTTAATAATATGAGACTTATACTGTTCAAATAATAAGCCTAATATTGATTATACTATACAATTTAATAATTAATGTATTATTACATCACATTAAAAAATTAAACAAGTTTACATCATTTCTCTTTTTTATGGTATTTAATAGCACCTCAAAATATAAAACTTCTAATATTTTATTTAATATCTTTAATGTATATGATTTTCGTTAAAGCTAACAATATTATCTCCAACGGTGATGAGGAAAGCTCTGCATCCATGAGGATTGTGGGTTGAACACCGCCACCTACGTTTTATTCCCTTCGAGCCTGTAGAATAATAGGTATAACCTCGAAACTTAATCAATGTCTTCCCTCTTTGCGACAAAATGTATTTCACTGAAAATAAAAAAAATGTCCGTAAATACCGTGTATAGTGTAAATATATTATGTATGTATCAAGTCCGCTAAATTACAGTTCGCCAATTTTTACACTTTCAGGTTGCCTGGAAAAGATGATTGTTTAAGTGATCTGTCACATCTTGTACATTACGTTTTTGTTCTGTTACTTGTTGAACTTATTTTATTGAAGAAAATGAAAATTTACCTTAATCAGTTAGATTAGCACTTTTGAATCATCAAATATTTATAAGAATACAATTAAGAGTACGTATTTATTATTGTGATTAACCATCATAATGACGTGTACGGAGGTCTAGGTGGGTATGTGTAAGTATTAAAAAGGGACATTCAAACTGCGTTTGGGCAGTTCAAGAAATCAGTAAGAAGCTTTGGAATTGTGTTGTGTATCATGAGTAATAACAATTTAATCACTTACATTCAAGTGGTTATTTTTATTACTTACGAGTGCTTTAAAGTCATCAAATTATTTATTGATTGTTATTTACTTGCTTGAATTTTTGTATGCTCACAACAAGTAAAACGGGGAAATCATAATTTGATATCAGATGTAGGGTTCAAAAAGTTCAGACCAGTAGTTACTGGGATGATCATATGTCTGTGTGTATCGTTATAATCACTGCTTGATGATGGCTATACCGATTATTTTGGGAAATTTACAGCAAACATCAGAATGTAATTCTATAAATACTCTTGATCTTTTAATCCTGGAAGAATGCTTAAATTAAGTAGACATTTGACTAATCTATATAAATAAAAATGAATTGCTAAGCTTAAAACTCGAGAACAACTGGACGAATTCGGTTTTTTTTAAATTAAAGTATTCGCTTTAGCTTGAGGAAGGTTTTATGAAGAATAGAATTGGAAAAAAAGCCTAATCGGGTCTGCTACACACTTGATTTCACACAATGAGGTCTGTAAGGTCAGCTAATTTAAAATATATTCTTGATTATTATGTAATCGAATACCACAAATTACAAAACTAAAAAATCTATCTGCGTAAAATTCAATTAAAAAAAATAAAAACACAAAACAGTTGTTGCAGGAATGTAGTATTTTCATTATAATCGGTTCAGTCTTTTAAGAGTGACGGGGAACATAGGGTCGATCATTCATACATACGTACATACATACATACACACATACAAACACACATACATCATTCAGGTCAAACACATAACGTCATTTTCGGGTAATTAAACGAATTGATAATATATTCATGTTTTATTTAGTTAACCCTACATAGAATTTCGTATTTTAACTGTTGCGTGAAGAGCACCGTAGCCATTTGCAGTTTATTTCGGAGAGATATAATTATTATATACGAGTACTTACTATATACTGCCAACTTTATATTTTTTCATGTGTATGATTTTCTCGAGACTTCACTATTATATTTTCTACAGTCATGACGAAGGCTCTACAGCCTCGTGAGTAATGAGTTGAACATGACCACCTCGTTTTGATTCCGCTGACACGAACTGCATAGTACGTATACCCTCGTAGTTGGATCAAACGCTTGCCCTTTCTTGATGTTATATATTGTACTGAAATTCGTGATGATTTAATTAATATATCAATGATCAATGGTGACTATAACGGTCGCTGAAATCTGCCTTTCTAATATATTTTTTATTTTTATTCTTCCTATAAGATATTACAGAATTTCATCTTTACTAATAAAACTTATTAGTAACTTGATGAAAAAGAAAAATTAGTTCAAACGAATGGCAATAGATGGTGCTATATAAAATAGTTTTATTGTTATTGAAGCTTTGTTTAGGTAAAATTAATAAAAGAAAAAATGATCTCAGAAAAGTATATTCTGGTTTTAAAAATTAGTCTAAACAACCCATATATTAAATTCCCGTTATTTTACTCTTGATTGAAAAATCTGTTATTAGTTAATGAGTATTGCGTAGATGGTATTCATAGATGGCGCTGTTTACATTGAATGAATTGCTCACTTTCCACTTGACTAATTTCGTCCGATCTCATTAAGACTAGCTAACTGTGCATGTGATATTATTATAGCGTATTAGTGTGAATAAACACAAGGCCAAGGCACGACCTAGGACTTGATCCCAGGACCGAGTCCTAGGTCCAGATATGGAGCCGTAAAATAAATATAACTGGCTTCAATAATATCATTATTTATTTTAGTACCAACGTTATCGACATGATGATATTGTTTAGTAATTTTATCAAATAACCTGAAGAAGTAAAGAACTTTATAAATTTTTTCTGCCTCAATGGTTTTTTAAATTATCGTGATATTTTTACTATATTTCTGCCTTTTAGCTTCGACGTGTTCATGAACTTCATTAAACTTAATAATTGTGTTATCTACTGTAATTATAAAAGCTCTGCAGCCGCGGGTGTAATGGGTCGAACAACGCCATCTGATTCTCAATGCCGTTTCACCCGCTGCTAGCGTGGAATTATATGTGTACCCATTAAACTTTATCAGCTGCCTGCCTCTCATAGACGTTACGTATTCCACTGAAAGAAATTAATATTTTTTGTTAATATATTACATTTTTAGGGTTCCCTTCATCAGTTGATAAAAATCGAAACTTTTACTGTAATATTGAGTATGTCAGTCTGTCCATTTGTCTATGTCTGTCACAGTATATATTCTCAGAACCCTTAGGACGTCAAATTCAAAATTTCGCTATATATTTTAAATAAAACTATCTTTCGTATTATTTCGCAGATTTATTTTGATTTTTGGTTCCCGACGTTTCGAATGCTATACAGCAATCGTGATCACGGGAGAGACTAAGGTTTTAGACGTCTCAAAGGCGTTGAATATGAAATATTATTTATTTAATTTTGGCTGTTAATATTATAATTATTACAATTTATTAGAAAACTTAATTAATAAGTAATCTTATTTAGTGTTGCCAAATTCGAGCAAGCTCGAGACAAAGATTTTCATCATAGAGATCAACATTTTTTACTTCTCTGACAGCAAATATACATATCACATGACGAAATCGAAGTCGAGATTCTAGTTGAATTTTCGTAGGAGACAACATATTTTTGTAACTCAGGCCAAGTATAGCGCAGTCATTGATCACAATTTTTTTATATTATATTCTTTAATAAAGAAACTAAATGAATACGGTGTCAATAAGTCCATATTTTTTTTTATTTAAATTTTTTACTAAATCCAACTATCGACAAATAAAATATATATTAGTCGTACAGTATCTAGATTAATAGTCAATTTCTTAAATTTTATCTTTATAGCATACTAATTCATTCAAAAGTTTATGATCGTAGTTATGAAAGTATCTCTTAATTAAAGAGAGAAAAGAAACCTGCAAAGTCAGATCCCCACGATCATAAGGTTCAGGAATAATTTGCAAGTCGCGTCACTATTTTATGTACATACTTTTAATTGTGACGTGTAATAATGAGTAGTAAAGTTTATAGTGAAGGAAAAATACAATTTATTTAAGAGAGAAAACTAAATGTTAACTAAAATACAATACATGGCTATGATTATTAGCACAGAGTATTAAATTAAATGAGATATAAAACACAATAAGTAAAAGGAATAACAATCATTAGAATTCAAAACACTATATAAAGGAATCAATGACAATAATATTAAGTGGAGCTTTTGTGATAATTTTTAAAACAGTTTTTATCGCGTGACAGACACAGATAGACGTCACATTTCTCACATCTCATTTTAGAACGACTGCTACAATTTTCCATTCGACAAGTTCTCGGTGCTTTTATGTCGTCGCTAATAGGATAGTGTTCATATCCGTCATACCTTTTTGCTGCCGATGGTGCATTTGCAGGTCGGTATTTTTTATGGTCTTTATGTGCAACCGACGAATAGTCATCATCTTCTTCCTCAATACGAGTACGTTCTGGAGTAGAAGATAACGTATCTGCCACATCCATGAGAAAATCTAATAAAGGCATCGTCTGGTTTCTGAGAAAATTATTACTAGTGCAGTCATTGCTGTACAGCCTCCAAGAGTTTACCAGAGCTAGATCTAAAAAGTGCAAAATAACTTTAAGAGTCCATTTTTTAGTTTTGATAAAAGTTCTGTAATATTCCAATTGTTTATCAAGGACGTGTGCCCCCATTATATGTTGATTATAATTATGCACAATTTTCGGCACTGTAACATCTGTGTACCTTTTATTAAATTTATCCCACCTTTTTACATTTATTGTTTCATCGACACCGGTACAGTTTGATGCAAGTATTACAGATTTATTATCCTTCCATTTTACTACTGTGATAGGCTCACAAACGAACTGTTCGCTTCCTCCACAATCCATATTAGAATCTTTATTGAATTTGATCGTCGTTTGGTTTGAGATTCTATTTTGCATTATTGTTCCCGTAGCGTGCAGATTTAACTTTTCCATTTCTTCAATCAAAGGTATAGTAGTAAAATATCGGTCAAAATAAATGCAACTGCCAGAGGGAACACTTTTAGTTAAATGTAAGATTATAGCAGGCCCAAGACCAAGGTTCGTCTCTCCAAAGAACTTTTCATCTTTATAGATAGCGAAATCAAGTATTAATCCTTCACTTGTGGTTAAGACAAAGTTTTTAAGACCTATAACTTTATGTTTAACCATCTGTCGTAGCTTACATCTACCTGAAAATGGTATTATCTTCTTATCTATGGAATAAAATCCGGGGCTTCTTTCCAGTCTATTACAAGTATCTTTTACTTTGTTGATCATAGGCTGCACTTTCCACAATGGGTTCTCCTTTTCATGATCAAGCGGTAAATCAGTTTCAATGACATGAAGTGCATTGCGAATTGTCAGAAATCTGTCCCTTGGCATCAAGTCGGAGATTAATCCTAGCTTTGTACCAGCTTTCCAGTACATAGATAACCTGGGATACGGAATGCAGCCCATGATCATATGTATTGCAAAGAGCTTTGCGATTTCAGAACTTGTACACTTAAGCTCAATACCATTCGTTCGAAAGTAATATAAGTTAGTACAGTAAGAAACTTTTTCTAAAAATGCATCATCAAAGTAATCACGGAAGTAATCGATTGGTCGCCTTACAGGTTTTGTAGGCAAAGAAGTGTAGTAGTGCTGTTTATTTTCAAATGGAACCTGCTTCCATATGCGTTTTCTTTTAGAATTTGGTGTAGATAATTTTTTTTTTGTGGTGAACGCAGAAACTGGTTTCTTTTGGTGCGAGTTATCACGTGTTCTAGTACCAGGGCTTAACTGCACCACAGACTTAAATGAAGGTCTTTCTACCATTGTTTGAAAGTCATGTTCCTCATCATTCAGATGATCTTCAATTTGGTTAAATAAATTATTTGGTTTAAAATCTAAATCATCTTGATCAGAAACTTCAATTTCCGAAAAATTACCATTTTGTAATATATCGTTTAGAACATCATCCTCGTGAAGAGCCTCTAAAAATATAAAAAAAAAACGTTTTTATATATTTGAACCAAAATATCAAAACAACATTAAAAAAATTAAGTCATTTTAAATGCTACAACCAAGCCACACGATCGAGTTCCACACAAACTATGAATGGTGTACACAAAAGGAAGAATAGTTATTTTTTAACAACGCTAATTACTTGCATAAAATTTTTACAATCGAAGACTTTATAAAAAGAATTCAGTGGAATGTAATAAAAATAGCAAGTCATTTTTATTACGTTCTACGAAAGCATGACAAATCATGCCCCCCCAACGTGCGTTCACCTTGTCGTGGTGGGGGGGCTCAGTAGTGCCCGGCAACCCGACCGGGCGCAAAGCCAAGAAACGCACAGGGAGGTGGCCTACTTCGGTGGGCGGTGGGAGGTGGCCTCTTCGGAGGGCGGTGTACCATGCGGGTTGCTCCTGGTACTTCTCTGATAGCAGAGTGGACCTTGGAGCAACCCCGTGGTTGTTGTGGTCTGCTTCGGCAGACCTGCCGTCGAGGCGTCGTAGTTGAATGCGTAAGCGATCCTGCGACGCCCCATTAATACGGGGCAAGGCTTTGTTGGGTTTTAGTGGGTAGTACTGGCTTTGCCGGTGAGTCCCACACCTCGTGCGTAAATGCATTTCCCAACGTTAAAAAAAAATTACGAATCATCGACGATATTCGCATTCGGCAAGAGAAAAGTTTATAATTGAATGTTAGGAAGTCAGTAAAATAGAAAAGTCATCTCACTTGTGAAGGATAAAAATGAAAATAATGTACAGAGATATGAATTTAAAACTCTTTAGTTAAACTTTATAGATTTTGCATTTTATTGTGAAAAAAGTACTTTTTCGTGCTTTAAGGATAGTTCTCGTGGGATAATAATAACGAAAAATTGTAACGATGCCAAAATAGAACGTTAAATATTTTAAATTAGTGTTTAAGATGTAATGGAGGTCAATCTAACATTTTAAAATTATACATATTTGTATGTCTCTTAGAACGTATGTACGTACATCCATGAACTCAACGGCGTACTCTAAAAGTGGCAACATTGACGTTATCAGCGTTACTCTATACAGATAAATAAAATTGAAGTGTCTGTTAATATAATGTCAAAATAACAGCTTTTTACTAAATGCATATGGAATTATATACGGTATTTATAAGAAAAACACAATTTTTAAATTTATTGTCTGCCTGTCTGTATGTTTGTTCCGGCTAATCTCCGAAGCGGCTGAGCCGATTTTGACGTGACTTTCACTGGCAGGATGTTATAAGGAGTAACTGAGGCTACTTTTATTTCAGTAAAAGAATTAGGGTTCCGCTTAAAAAAATAAAAACGTACCTAGGGACGAACAAGAGCAAAGCGATGGTGAGTCGCTAGTTTAAAATAAAACTCCATTTACTTTTTATACTTTATTACTAAAATACATCATATTCTAAACGTGTACATATCTAACATAATAAATAAAATCGCAAACACACAGACGGAAAGATAAAATAATAACGATACCAAAATTGTACATTAGTCATTGAATAATAATATAACTTAAAATTTACGTTATAAAACTTCTATCTAAGATATCTACCTCTTTCAACATACATAGAGGAACTACCGCTTACATATCTATTCTATAAGTATATGATGGATTATATAAAAGAAGACTACACATTATAAACTTATTCCTAGAATATATCAGATGAACTTATGTATCTACTTTCCTTTCTATTATTTTAAATAGATTATTTTTTCATTAGCATTAAATATATTCTATTTGGGCTCTCAATTTAGGTTTAGGGGGTGGGTGATCATGACATTCATTCATCTTGACGATTGCGTCATCTACTGTATGTAACGAAGCAAGGCAGCCACGGTATTGGTGCGTAGAACATTTCCACCTTATTTTTGCTCCAAACGGACGTGTAGCTGAATAGGTGTATCCGTTTAATTCAATTAAACGTTTTCCGTTTTTAGATAATACAAATTTCACTGAAATACAAAATATAACTGTAATATATGATTAATTGTTTACTATCGAAAGTCATTTATCCTCGCTCAATAAGAGATACATAATTTTAAATAAAACTATCTTTTCGGATTTTGTCGCGGATTTATTTGCATTTTTGTTTCCCTCTGTGGGAAATAAATCCGCGACAAAATCCGAAAAGATAGTTTTATTTAAAATGTCAAATATTCGCGTAAATCTAAGAAAGTATTAAGAGATACATCATATCAAACACCTTGCGAAACAAGAAGTAATTTTGATGTACAATACAGTTCTATTCATTATTACACATTACAAACAAAGATAACACCTTCCATAAAAGTTTTTTTTCATATAATTTCATATGTCTTCAATATATAAATCGTTTTCTCTTTCGGTATAAATACAGCTAAATCGAGACGATTAATTGTGAAGCACCAACAAACAAATAGACATGTAACCAGACTAAAATGAATGTAAAATTTAGATTTTAAAATTCTATTTGCATGTCTTTTCGTATATAGACGTACAATGTACATCCGGTAACTCATCTGCGTACTCCACAAACGTAAACATCAAAGATATGAGGAATTAAATCTATATATATAAAAGAAAGTCGATTTAGTTACACTATTTATAATTCAAGAACGGCTCAACCGATTTGGCTGAAACTTGGTGGGGAGGTAGCTTAGAACCAGGAGACAGACATAGAATACTTTTTAGTCCGTTAGAACGGCTGGACCAATTTTTATGATATTTGAATTTTTGGATTTCTCTCATTCCGGAATAGGTTAATACCTAAGTATTAAAACGTCAGAAAAATTAACGAAAAAAAATATTTATATGGCTAATAACACTGGCTAATAACTATTTATATCTATTTAAAACGTACCTAGCGACGAACCCGAGCGAAGCGAGGGTGAGCCGCTAGTTTAAAATAAAACTTCATTAAATTGACATATTTTTTTTACTTAAATACAATATATAAAATTGTATATCTAAAGCAATAAAAAAACAGACAGACAACTAAAGTAATAACGATAAATATAAAAAATGTTTATTATTTTTTGGACTACTGTGTAAGGTGCAATGAAAGCCAAATTAAAGGTTACTAAAACTTCTATGTCTGCTTTTCGATCATACATCAAGAGACTATCTCTGCATATTCATGTAAAAAAAAACATAAAATTATTAACTAATTACAATAATAATATAATTAAATATATCATATACACTTACATACCTATCTAGCTTCAATGAAATCAAACAAGTTGTCCAAAAAGGTTGTACATAGATGTTACTTTATTTAACTTCAATCAATATTGTTATTTCACATAATAGGGGCTCTAAATTTAAATTGTGGGGGTGGGTGATCACGACATTCATTCATCTTGACGATTGCGTCGTTTACTGTATATAACTCTTTCGTCGTTTACTGTATATATTTATAATATGTATGTATTTGAAGTTATATATGTGTAGTGTATCAACTATCTGGTATCCATAACACAAGCCTCGTAGCTTACCATGGAACTAGACGATGTTGTGTGTTAATGTCCCAACATATTTATTATTATTATTTATAACGAAGCGAGGCAGCCACGGTATTGGTGCGTAGAACATTTCCACCTTATTTTTGCTCAAAACGACAAACGGACGTATAGCTGAATAGGTGTATTCGTTTAATAGAATTAAACATTTCCCGTGTTTAGATAATACAAACTTCATTAAAACACAAAATATAACTATGTTATACGATTTAATATAATTAATAATAATTTACTTAACTGTACTTATACTTAATTAACTGAATGAAATTATCTTCAACCAATTAAATTATCTTGCACGTTAGATTCCTGCATGGATTACTGCGTAACAAGTGAATTTAATTCTTCAGACATTTAGTCAAAAAATGCAATAAAGATATAGCTATATAACATTAGAGTTCTAATTTCTAATTAACCCAAAAATTTAGAACAAAATATTTTTGGATTAGTGTTTAAGATGAAGCGGAAGCGGCTTTAAAAATGTCTGCTTATCTTTTTAAATGAAATATATCAAGAGACTACCGCTACGGACAATATTTCCGTAATGATGGGTTATTTTAAAAAAACTTCACATTTCCAACTAATTCTTTAATATTACTTATGCTTATATGGACTTCCATATTAAGCTATCCATTCATCATATCAATCAGATTGTCTGAATTTTTTAAACTCTAAAATATTATTCTATTTCACAATATTTTTATATTTCACAGGATAAGGGACCATATGCTTAAGTTGGTTCGGTTGATGGTCATGGTTTTCATTAATCTTGAAAACTTCGTCTTCTACAGTATGTATTGAGGCGTTACACCCGCGATGTTGGTGTGTAGAGCATTTCCACCTCACTTTTGCTCCGATAGCGCGTGTAGCTGAATAGGTGTATCCATTTAATTGAATCAAACGTTTCCCCTTTTGAGACAACACATACGTCACTGAAATATATAATGTAAATATAATATATTGCCAAATCATTATTTACTTTACTCATTATTTACAACGAAGTATCCGCGATTTCATTTATGTTCATTTAATAAACGAGGTCAATACAATTATGACGTACAAGTAAAATATCATGTAGTACTGTAAATTGTTAGTATAATTATTATTATTTAAAATAATGCGTACGTGTATGGATAGAAGAACTCAATATACCTATATACATATATAAATATTAATTTTATTCTCGTGGGAATCATTTCATATTGCTCTATAATAAAAGTTTCTTTTTATAGAGCAATATTAAATGATATATATTATATTTGTGTTTAGAACACAATCTTGATCTCTACCAAATGACACCATTATCTATCAATTTTATGATCCGATAAGTTGTCAATTAAAAGGAAAATTAAAACAAATTACATATAACAAATCCATTTATTTCAATGTACAGTAAAAAACTTAAATCTATCAGTAAAATAAATTTATCGGTTCAATTCTCGGCGGATGATTATGCTTGTTTTTTATAAATATTATTGCGTCGTTTATTGTATGTATAACTGCTTTACAACCTTGCGGTTGATGTGTCGAGCATTTCCATCTCGACTTACTTCCCAATCCAGGCCTTCGAGAGAACGTGTATCCGTCACACTTTATCATACTCTTGCCCCTTTTAGATGTAGTCCATTCGGCTAAAATAAAAAGATATATATTGAAATTTACCGTAAATGACTCTATAGACTATTCGAATCGAAAAATAATATTAGTACTACATATATTATATTATGTATACTATTTTATTATAATTTTAAGTAGTAATAGCAACTTACAGGAGTATGGTGGGAACAAAAAAGATTTTTTGTAAATTAAATCACTTTTCTGGTAAAAATCGTTATAAGTTATTTTAAAGATGTACATATGTGCGAGATGGGTTCAATAGTAATCCTCCTTGATGTTATGTGTTGATTTTTGACAATGTATATTGTGTAACGGTTGCAAGAGGCTCCTGCTCTCGTCGAATCGGTCCAATGAGGTTTATCTATACTTACTAATATTATAAAGAGGTAAAGTTTGTGAGTCTGTGACGTCGTAGGGGGTAATCTCTGGATCTACTAAACCGATTCAGATGAAATTTGGTAAGAAGATAGTTTGAGACCCTGGAAAGGACATAGGATACCTTTTATCCTGGAAATCATCCCTTAAGGGGATAAAATTGGGTATGAAAGTTTGTATGGGGAATCAACCTAGGGACCAACACGAGCGAAGCGAGGGTGAGTCGCTAGTTTATTATAAACAGCGTAATATAAAAGGCACATTATTATACATGTTAATATTACTAGTTTTTGTCTTATGGCTGTTCTCGTATGAAATAGTAGTTCTCGTTAGAAATAGTCTATATGTAAGGCTACGCGTACATTTGCTTTTAAATTTAAAATTTAATTTTAAATTTGTTGAGCCGCTATATTATCATATTCACTTACAAACTTTCGAATAGATATTTTTTAGTGTGATGAATATTTTAAACGTAAAATTTTATGGAGATGTTTGGAACTCAATGGTGACTTAGCAAATGATGGCGGTTCTAAAGAACTAGTAGAATTTTTTTTTTTCAAATCTAGAATAAGAATTTCAAAATTATTATTCTTTTTTAAATTATGCTTGTTTATATTATTCTTTTAAATCTTCAACCACTTACCATTTTTGTTTAATTACGGTGCCATTTTACATTAAATAAATACATTTTGAATAATTTTTTTATAAGATGTATTAATAAATATTGATAAAAATAATTATTGCATTTTCCTCACTAATATTTCTTTATTTTTAGGAAATATATGTTCACATTTTCATTCGTAAATATCTCAGCATTGTTACATTTTTTTTTCATTAAATCCAGCAAATAATTTATTTACTCTACATAAATATAATTCTTTACAAATTTTACACTAAAATCTAATCAGTAAAAAAATGAAAAAAAAAACTAGTTCAAAATACTTTTAACTACGGTTTCATTGATTTGAAGCAAGTTCTCACATGGCTACCTCGATTATCAGTCAAAGTTATACATTCAGAATCAAGTTTGCTAACTGCTGTACGTACAACTTTATAAGAAGTGCTCAAAGTGTTAATGAAAAATTTAAGACATACTTGTACTCGTTTGTATGACAAAGGATCATCTTCTGTAGGTAAAGGTAAAAAATATTTAGTTGTATATTTGCGTCGAGAAGGTCCTCCTGTAGTAAAGCATTTTGTGTTTCCTCTTTCTATATATTTATTTATATATTCCCATTGTTTACAATGATCTGATAATTTCCAAAATTCCCTATGTATATTTTTTCGGATATGATTATTGAATTTCGTATTGCACATATGTTTACACGTTGTAGGGCAAGCAGGACCCATTTGCCTTTGACTTCTAAATTTACCATTCCTGCTAACATATGATTGCCCAGAGTTCACTAGCATCTTTCTTCTTGTATCAATCCATTGATTTTCAGGTCTGTTTCTCTTCTTATCTAATAGAGACGGTTTTTGGGGTTTTATTCTACGGCTATACTCATCAATATTTGGTGAGCTTTCCGAAAAAGTTGTTAAATATGGCAGTTCCTCTGCAATAATTCCTCCAATAGAAACCAATCCATTTTCTTCAGAATCTTCACTTGATAGCATAGATAAATCTAGAAAAATAAAATAATCAATAATATAAACAATATTAATATATTATAAAAATCGGTACACACACTACTATTCACCTAAACTAAATTAAAACATACTTCTTAAATCCAAATGCAAGTTACAAACATTACCTTATCTTTTCACTATGTTAATTTACATGTTATCTTACGTACTATATTAACTTACCCTCTCTACCTAGGATGCGTCATTAGGTACGTTTTCATTTTTTTGAGCGGAACCCTAATTATTTTTGATAATAAAAGTAGCCTAAGTTACTCCTTATAGCATCAGCTTTCTGCCAGTGAAAGTCTCGGAGAGTAGCCGGAATAAACAGAAAAACAAACAAAATTTTTAAAAATTACGTTTTTCTTGTAAGTACCTTCTATAATTGCATGCATTTAGTAAAAGCTGTTATTTTGACATTACAAACAGATACTTCAATTTTATTTATCTGTATAGATTATAGATTATTTATGGTTAGCTTTTAATCAAAATACAGTATCAGGATTAATATAAAATGTTGATTTAAATTTTGTTTTCCATTTAATATTAAATAATATAATTAAATTTCTACGTTATCATAACAATAGCTCCTTACAACATAAGTCACATACACAATCACTTAAACAATCAATAAACAATAATATTTAAATACACATATTTAATTTGTTAGCTATTTGGATTTCTGTATTTTACAATAGATCACAATAATCGAAAATAAACTAGATCTGTTGTAAAAAATGTAGCTATTAGTCATTATGTTTGTGACATTTATTACAGATATTTTTATTCGCATTTATGAAAGCAATTTTCGCATATTTATTTATGATATCTCGGTAATGTCGTATTGTTTTTGCAGGGTTCGTATAATTTTTCAGTTTATCCCAAACCTTGAATAACTCAAACATTTTACTCATACTCAATTTGCTGCCCAAGTATATTTGTTTACAATATTTGCAGCGAGATTTTATTAGTTCGAACGAGGAGACATGGTCGCAAACACTTTCAATCATGCTTTCATCAATCGCGATTCGATGATTGTTATGCTTTCCTCGATTATCAGTTAAAGTACCACAACTTAGCTTATTAAGTGCAGTACGCACAAAACGATCGGAAATGCTTAAGGTGTTATTGAAAATTCTACTGCAGACTCTTACACGTTCGTAAGACTTTGTATTTTCATCTACAGGCAAAGGTAAATAATATTTCATCGTATATTGGCGTCGAGAAGATTCTGTAGTCATCCGCTTCTTGTTTGTTTTTTCTACATACTCATTTATATATTTCCAATGTTTGCAGTGATCTGATAAATTCCAAAACTCCTTGTGTATGCTTTTCCGAATAGTGTCGTTGAACTTCGCATAGCACTTAAGTTTACAAGTAGTTGGGCAAGCAGGACCTATTTGTTTGCCACGTCTAAATTTACCACTCTTGCTTATATATGGTTGCCCAGAGTTTGTTAACTTTTTTCTTTTTATATCCTTCCAATGTTCTTTACATTTTCTTTCTATCGTACCTCGTTTGATTTTGTAAGATTTTACTTTTTGGTTACCTTCGTCATTGGATGTAGAACCACATTCTGATACTGCTTGTAGCGGCGGAAGTTCCTCTACAATAATTCTATCCGTATGTTCCCATTCATTAAATCTATCTTTTGCAGGATTACAGACTGGTGATAGAGTGGGTTCTAAAATCAAGGAAAGTATGTTATTAATATTATATATTGCAGAATTAATATTAACAATTTAATTATATATTTATAATAAATTTTGAGTATAGAAGAAGTATTTCCAAACTGCTATACTACTATAGTTCCATTATTAATATAAACTTAAGGTTCACTAAAATCAAACAAACATGTCTAGCAATTAAGGTTTTATTATATGACATTTCAATAAGTCATAGTAAAAATTATTTCTCAAATTCATGAGTATGTGAATCATTTACATATACAATTTCATCATCTGCGGTAATCACTTTTGCTTTGCAACCAACAGGTTGATGGGTTGAGCATTTCCACCTGATTTTACTTCCAAGTCCTGAACCATATGAATACGTGTACCCATTGATTTTAAGCATACGTTTCCCTTTTCTCGACAAAACATATTCGGCTGGAAAATAAAACATAAATATGAAAATGTAAGTACAAGATATTCGATGACTAATTTTGCATATACATATTTTGGATGACATAAACGAAGTGACTACATTTCAAAAACACTTGTTTATGTGTTTAGTTCGGTCAATTTACTCGTTAAAATATGTCCACCGCGGCTTTTAGTACTTTACTCATGTACATTTTTTCAACCGACTTCAAAAAGGAGGAGGTTCTCAATTCGACTGTATTTTTTTTTATGTTTGTTACCTCAGAACTTCGTCATTTATTAACCGATTTGGACAATTTTTGTTTTGTTTGAAAGGGTATACTTCCAGATTGGTCCCATTTAAATTTCAAAAAAAAATACTACCCCTAAGGGTAGAAAAATAGGTAATTTAACCTACTTCTAATTGTCATATTGACTTGAAACTTTGCAAGTGTTTCTATTTCCGTTGATAGTACAGTGGTTCGGTATTGTTGATCTGATCTGATGGTAAGGCCAGAAGGTGGATAGGTGGAACTCTTCAACGACTAATAGTAAATACTTTGAGTTTGGGCTTATTTTATTTGGTTTGACAAGCCTAACGCTTTAGAATACTTACTTTGCTACTACTGTCTACACTAAAAAGGGAAAAATAAAAACTTTTTAACAAAAAAATAAAAACCGACTTCAAACAAAAGCACTAAAAAGTAAAAAATAACTGATTGGTAGTTTTCATTTACTATACATACCTAATCAAATATTTTTGAAGTCGGTGTGCTTTGGCTAAGTATTTAAAGCCTACCTATTAAATACATACCTAATCAAATATTTTCGAAATCGGTGCCAGCCCATACAAAGCAAAGCACACCGACTTCGAAAATATTTGATTAGGTATGTATAGTAAATGAAAACTACCAATCAGTTATTTTTTACTTTTTAGTGCTTTTGTTTGAAGTCGGTTTTTATTTTTTTATTATTACAGCAGTTACTTTATGTATGTTTTTACGGAAAATAATAAATTGCGTTTCATACAAGTTCTACATACATTGTAAAGAATTAAAACGTTCGAATTAAACGTCTCCATTTATGGTATTTTTTTCACTCACTCATTTTTCATATCATGACATTTAAAAAAAATCTTATTTTAGTAAAAAAAATATTCTTTTAATTTTCTTATATACAAAACTTCCTAACAATAATAAACATAAAAAAAGAATTATCCAATTTGATGCAGTCGATCCGAAGTTTTGCGCGTACATACATTTCGGTGATTCATTTTTATTTATATAGGTTTAGTCTTCAGGATTGTGCCTAACGCTATGACAGTAGAAAACTGCTATTTTGACATTACAAACAGACACTTCGACTTTATTTACTGTGTAAATTAGTGTCTTACACTCACTTGGTTCGGGCGCGTCCTTCGGTGCCGTGTTACTCCAAGTCATGATCTATATCTGTGTACTTTTCATCCAAATCCGACAAGTTGTTTTAATGTGAAGGAGTTACAAACATACACAAATACTAACTTTCGCATTTATAGTTTGATGTTAATGTAATGGCAAAGATACTAATTTAATTAAGAGAAGTGGAAGCAGCAGATCAAAGACTGAAACGATTTAGTATGGGTGAAAATATTTATTACTGTGAAATCAGTGTTGGTAACAATATAAATTCTTCCTTTTTTTATAAGGTCCAGATATTTTATAAAATTAAAATATATACTTAATAATTACCTTCATAAATAAATTTTGTTGTTCTTTTAACTTCAGATCTAACTAAGGACGAACAAATTTTCTACTAAAAATAATCACCTAAGATATAACTTGATGCGAATCCGCGATCCATGCATTTTATGTAACAAACTTTTATTTTCATTTGTTTTTTACTATAGTTTTTGTTTAAAATAAACTAGCATAATGTAATATAAGGCAGTTTTTTAACAATTTCAATTGTTTTTTGTTCTTTTGTCATATTTACTAGTGAAGAACTTAAATTAATCGATCGGCACAGATATAAAATAATGACAGTTTTATACAATTTAACTAAAAGCTAAAGAAATTAACCAACTCTAGTATATTTTACTTGCCCACGAGGTAAAATGAAATGTGTTATAGAGGGATAAAACAAATGGGAGTGGAATGCCTTAAAACAATATCATCATTTCATCACTTCTGTCATCCCTGCGTTATGTAAAACCTGTCACACGAAATCGAGAAAAAACCTGTTTCCATGATAGATTTTAGTATTAGGGAATTGTGATAATTGACAGTTTCCCGAAAGCCTTGCCATGGAGAAACCAACAAAATATAACATTATATAAAATATAAACAACACAGTTATAATGTTTACCATCACCTTAAGTTTAAAAAACAAACAGCATTTAATGTGAGCGAAATCAATTATAACAAACGTTTTAATAAAGAAAAAAAAAACGGATTTCTTATGTTAACCTAATTATCCAAAATAATAGCTCCTGCAAGTGTTGCTATGTATGTTTATAGGAAAAACCTTTAATTATTGGTTTTCAAAACTTCAAATTCTTTTATGTGCACTGTATATTTGAAGGACGGCGGATGGTTGTGAATTTCTTTAGTATATACGATGGTGTCAAAGATGGTGTGGACGACTGCGTTACACCCGCGCGCATGGTGGGTTGAGCACATCCATCTTATCTTGTGATTGTTCCCTTCCTTCCTTGCGCTGTATGTATAGTCATTTAGTAACACCAGGCGTTTGCCTTTATTAGATAATACGTATACAGCTGAAATAAACAACAAACTTGTGATATAGTTATTTAGTAGTATTATTTTGATAGTTTAAATTCATAATAAATGTTTAATATCAAATAACACATGAAAATAAAAGAACAAACTGAAAATTTGTTAATATTTACAATTTATTTTTATTAGCCACAAGGAGAACACACAGATATATCATAACTAGTTGTGTCTCGCTTCTTTGTCTGTTTTTCATTTATCTATATTAATCTACACTAATATTATAAAGAGGTAAAGTTTGTGAGATTGTGAGTTTGTAGGGGCTAATCTCTGGATCTACTGAACCGATTTTGATGAAATTTGGAAAGAATATCTTCTTCGTTAACTATCGCTTGAGACCCTGGGAAGGACATAGGATACTTTATATCCCGGAAATCATCCCTTAAGGGGGTGAAAATGAAGATGAAAGTTTGTATGGGGAATCAAACTGTATATTTTTATGTATAGGCAAGATATTTTACATGTTTGCCTTATGTGATAGATGGTTATGTGTTTCATTAATTAGAACAATCTTGTCTTCCACCGTATGTATACTGGCGTGGCAACCTCGACTTTGGTGAGTGGAACATTTCCAACGTTTTCTGAGCGTCACTCCAGGAGTTGAGGAATACGTGTATCCGTTAAGTTTTATCATACGTTTGCCCTTCTTAGATAAGACGAATTCAACTGAAAAAACACTATTCTATAGATTCTTTTAGAAACTTTTCGAATTATTTAAACTATGTTATTTTAAATGACCCGCGCCAATAAAGGAACGAATCTAAGATAGCGGCGCCGATCATGCTTTCTTACTGGCAAGCTATTGCCACACACACGGCCGTACTGCTTGCAAAAAAATAACCAGTGAGACGACCGCGGACACGCCGGCGTGTCAGTTAACAATAGATTTCTTAGAATTTTAAATAATTTCTTAGAAATTTACCTGGAGGTGGTAGTTAAAAAATACTTTTTATAGTTTCATAAGATCATAAATAGTAATTTCACAACATAGTACATTGTACAACATCTTTTTTGAACAATTTCAAAAAGTATAATTTTAAAGAAAATAATTAATAATTTTTGCATTTGCAACAAATAGTTTCAAACTTTTTTAAACATATATGCATTTTTTTATGTTAAGATTATGACTTTCAAGACTTTATATATTTTTAATAAACGTAATAATATATGTAAAATGTTTTATTTCGTTTTTTTGCTGACCTTATCATCTGTCAATGCAAGTACCCAGACGCCATTTCAGATTTCTTTATTGACGCGGCTTATAAATAAGTATTCATTACATTAATTATTGTAAGTATTCATTCGTATTTTTTTTATTTTTGTAAGAGGCAAATATGAGGTGTTATTATTATTGTAAGGTGCTGGTTAAAAATTTAATACACACATGGCAAGTGGTGTTGTAATTGATCGGTAGGTGCAATTGATCATTAACATTGTATTTAACCGTATATACAAAACCGTATAACAAACCATATATATAAAACATATCATTCATAAATAATTGAGTTCTAAGTTTACCTCTTTATAATTTTCTGAGATATCCTTATATGGCTGAAGACTATTAAAATATTGTAAAGTATGTACAAAATAATATGTATTATTTATTTTAATAAAATATTCTCATCACATATGTATACACTATAAAACAAAAACAAAAATTCGTCACTGTAGGTCTAAATTAAGCTATAATGAAAAATTCTGGAACCGACTTTTTCCTTTTATAATACCTTTGCTTAAGTAAATATTTAGCATATTCTTCTGGATCAGCTTTTTTTCTCAATCTATACCTGCGTTGTCTTTCAGCAGATGTCATAGCTCTTTTACGTACTCGTTTTTTGCGACCTACAAAAAAATATATATTCAATATAGGAAATTAAATTATAAAAATAATAATAATTATATATAAGAAAGCAGTGGTAGCCCAGCGGTAACGCGAACGCTTGGGAAACCGAGTGGAACGGATTCAAATCCCGGGTCTCGCACCTCTGATATTTTCATGTGCGAATCATTTCTGACAATTACCACTTGCCTTACGGTGAAGGAAAACATCGTGAGGAAACTTGCATGTCTTAGAGAACCTAGCAATTTTTCGAAAGATATGTGAAGTCCGCCAACCCGCACTTGGCCAGCGTGGTGGACTATGGCCTGATCCCCCTCGTATTGACGGGAGGCCCGTGCCCAGCAGTGGGACGTTAAAAAGGGCTGAATACACACACATACATATGAAGAATGCATTTAATACGGAGATTTAGAAGATTAAAAGAAAAAAAAATTTAGGCAGGAATTTGTATTTTTTTATTTTACAAATATTTTAAAACCAATATTGCCTTTAGTCATGTTATAATTTTTATTGGAATAATAAAATTCGAAATATAACCGACAGCTTGACATTGTTAAGAGTTAAAGTACACATTTATACATTTTACATTTTACGTTACTGAATAACAAATAGTTTTTGGAAATTCAATATAACTAAAACGTATTGCTCTTATAATTGTAATTTTTTAACAATTCAGTTTTATTTCTTCATCAATTAAAATATTTTATTCCGTAAATTTAACAATTTTGGATTTTTTACAAGAAAATTACGAAACATAAATAACGCTATTGGAATGTTCTAAACTAAATAATATTCCATATTGCGTAGGATTTTAGTTTGAATAAGATTTGTACGATTTTGTTAACAAACCTTACCTGTGAAGGACTGACCCTTTAATAAATTATCTTTCTAAATTTATCCGTGTTATGTACTAAAAACATCATTTGATGTTTCAACTATAATATACTAGAGGACTTGCTAGGGAGGCAATGTTTTACCACAGTTCGTAGTTGGAAAATATAAGAAAAATCTGGTCTCCAGGTACCTTTGATACCCAGAGATATACAAAAAAATCAAATTCTATCAAGAGTTTAGAACAAATATTAAGAACGCACCAAAATTTTATTTGTAAAGATAAATATAACTCATCGATCAATATTATTATTCGTCGGTCTGAGATGGTTCATACTTCATGGTTATGATGTGACTTAACAGACACTATTTCGTCTTCAATTGTTACTATAGAAGCTGTACATCCACGCCTATGGTGCGTAGAGCATCTCCAATAGGCCCTTGTCCCAGATTTAGCTTCGTAGTAGGTATAGCCTTGTAATTTTATTAAGCGTTTTCCTTTGTTGGACGTCACAAATTCTGCTGTTAAAAATATATATAGATTAGAATTAGTAACTTTATTCATTCATACATTTGTTTTTTAATATTATTATTGACCCGTCCTGCTTCGTTTTCCCTTTCTTCAAACTACTAAAAAAACAAAACTACTTAAAAGTACTAATATCCCAAGTATTAAAAATAATACTACATGCGTGTAAAATTTCATCGTGGCTGTGGGAAGGACTTAGCCCACTACCCTGATATACCAAGACCGTCATATAAAAGTATCTGCCAAGGAAATGGACACGACAGACACTATGCTCATTAGAACGTATCAATATAATATCCATTACGCGGAAATGGTGTATGCCTTTTTTCTGAGAGAGACACGCTGGGCCTAACATTGTCAACGCTCAAACCAATTTTGTCAACAGGCAGTGCATACGTGAACTCGTCAGTTTGCTGACATACCGCTTGATATATTCATACATCGATTAGGTATATAGGCTGTAGTAAG